CCTCCTGTTTTCTGTGGAGCAGAACACGTTTCTGTCTATAGTTAGTCTAGCTGTCATTATCCTGGCTCTCAGTATGGCTGAGAGGAGCTTTGCTGCTCTGGTCTATAATCTACCTTATGACTCACATCATTTATCAAAACGCTTTCAGAATATAGTCTCAGAGGGATGATGGAAAGATTCCTCCATGCTTTTGTTACGTCAACACTGGGCTGCTGTTCTTTCTCCAGAACAAGTTTGGTCCTGAATCCGGAAGTTATTTTAGGCTAAATTCGAGCAGGAGGAGTCACAACAGCTTAATCCTACAAAAACACACTGCTTTCCCAAGATCTTCTGACAAAATCTAGTAAAAAAAATAAATGGACTTAAGAAAAATGCTCCAGTTTAAAGTGTCCCAAACTCTGCAGTACTCCTTCAGGCCGCCAGGGGGCAGCACGGTGCGTGAGGATCCCTGATTCCCACCTCCTCCAGAGGCCTGAGGTCAGGCTGGACCCTATCACAGGTTCTAATGTTGGTTTGTATTGCTTAACTTTGTGTTTTGGGACAGACTCCACCCAAACTTCTCTTTTAGGAGGATTCAAACCAACACGAGTATCAGTTCAGTTAAAAACCCGCACGTGGGTAAACTTAATCTCCTGTTCTCTGTCCAACCTTTGGACTTCTGTTTTAGTCAAGACATTGTGGCGTTTCTGTCTTGGTGTACAGATGCAGCTTTATGATTTTTGTTTCTCTTAAAGAATTAAAATTAAAGTAACTTTAAAAAAAATCCATAACCAAGGCATGTGTCCACAGCTTTGTGAGGGAGCTCTGACATGTGAAAAAACATTAGGCGTGTGCTAAATGAATCATTTTAGACAAAGCACCGATAAACACAATCAACTGATTAACTGATTAACTGATAACTGATCCGGGCATTAGCCAGCTCCTGCCAGGATATTTCATAGAGGAAGATGATAGTAAGCATTTTCCACGTGACATTGAAAAGGCTATTGCAGATTTGGGTTGAAAGCCTCTTGCCAGTCGTGGCATCTGGCTGAGACAGAAATAAATACAACTTTTTTTTCTGATATTTAACCCGATAAAGCCAAATGTGTCATATCTGATCGGGTTTCTTTTGGATGTGAGACTTTCTGCATCATTCAGTGGTAAAAGCTTTGCTCAAACCCCTGTTGTACACATTCAGATATACCTGATAACAGCCAGTAGAAGACCACACCAACATAGATTTCTGACTTATTGCACGCTAATTTAATCAAAATAATTTAAGTTTTTTTTCTCCATATGTTGTTGAGGGGCCAAAGAAAGAAATCAGACAAAAAAAATCCAATATTCTTCCTATTTTACTTGGATCAGGCTTTAAAGGGTTAAAGCTGAAAAAAGATGTTTAAGGTTAGCAAAGCAATTAATGCTAAATGTTAGCAACACAGGTGAAAGGAGATTACTGAACAAAGTAAATATCAGAGAGCATCTGCTGGTTAAACCTCCATTAGGGAATATTGATAATGGATGGATGTTTGAAAGCCTCCTCTATTGGTTGGTGGATCCTTGACCTTTACCTCCAGATTCCTGACTGTCAGCTCCTGTAAATATAAATGTGCCCCGCGGACAGATAGACATTCGGGTAAATCAGCAGCAAATGTAAAAACTGTCAATGTACAACACCCAGAGAACCGAACCAGGCCACGGCGTTTATCTCCAAAACTAACGCTCACACACAGGGTCTCAGCAGGGGAGCCGTCCACACCTCTGTTTGTCTCTTCCTTTTCTAAATGATACCAGATGATGTCATTTACAGCAAAACATGAAAAACTTCCCTCAGAAAAGTTTTACCCAAAGCCTTCCTTCCATTCCTCTCAGGGTCTCGTATTTCTTATCGTGTTCAGCCTCATTCATGCACCGATCCATGTCCTGGTAATAATTCACTTCTCCCAGATGTTAGTTTGAACCCCCCCCTTCTGCCCCATGGATACTCTCAGGATTCAGGTTTAGTAACTTATCAAAAGGATTAAAATGTCTCTCAAATGGGGTTTGAATGAGTCTGTTAGATATTGTGCAAATAACTTACATAACAGTCACAGAACAACATTTTTCTTCTAAAGTGTCTGAAACAAACCCATGTGATTCATAGCTAGCATGGGACAGCTAAACTGTAATTAGAACCTAACTCTGCTCACCACCTTTTTCCACAGGTGAATTTGTCCCCTCCGTATCAGTTTACACTCAGCAGTAAAACAGGAGTTCACTCTGTGAACTTTCAGCCTCAAACCGGTTCCACCTTCTCCACGATAATGGAAACAATAAAAGCCCTGATTACTGCATTTGCTCGCTGTTATGTGGAGAGTTTGAGAGGATCGTCTCTGACTGTGAGGAATGAACCCACAGGTTTAAATACATCCATAAAGGGAAGAGGAGAGAACTACTGAAAGGTTATAGGCTGATATGACTAGCAAATAACATCTGCCACTCCAGGAACATTAATGGAGTTAATGTGTATTATAAGGCAGCTTTTTACTCTAATATTTCCCTTATGTGCTGCTGGCTTTACAGCTTGGTCTGGATGTGTTGCATCCTTTTGCCTGGTTAAAGCTTATTAATACCATCTAGTATACTCTTTTTACAGCAGCCATTTTGGCTTTTGATAGCAAAAAAGAAAAGAAAAAAAAGAAAAAGCAGCTTGAATTGTACTGTAGGGTTACTGAGGGTCCACTGGCCCCAAAAATGAACTATTTTAATTCAGAAAAAATTAATCTTGCTAGGACAAAAGGTCCCCAATGGAAAGGCTGATTTACCAGCATTAGTCAGAAAAAGGAATAAATGAAAGTACCAATGTGGCCTGTTATCTTTGACTAATCAAAATGTTTTCTTACCAGTTTCCTGGTTACCAACATTTGGTCCTATTCTCATTATCGAGTAATAAAAGCTAAAGATGCCTCAGTGACTTGAGCTGATAGCTAACACACGATGAATGATTTTTATATAACAGGACACACCCATTTAGATGTTTTGAGATAAGTTTAGC